CTGCTAGTACAAATTTCTTGGTTCTTCTTTGTGTCTGATCCAGCACTACTGGAGATACTGCCATACTGGTACAAGCTTCAGACTCACACACTACACAGGTATACACTATACACTAGTACATGTACATTGCTAGTGATAGTAGTGTAGCTATTGTCTCAATCTTACTCTGAACAATAACAGTATTGCAATATATAATACTTATAGCGGATAATTTCCGTGGCCCAAAATTTTTGTGAATTTCACATTTTTTCAAAATTCGCAAGAATAAAATCCACGACAATCAATTCAATACGGTTCAAGATGGCTCAAAAGTAGATAATCACAAAAAAGCCACGAAAATGATTTTTAAACAGATCCACAAAATATTTGGGCCATGAAAATTTTCCGCTATACAGTATACTCACTCATTCACACTATTACTAATCCCATTCCTACTCTCATGCAGTCACTAACCTTCACTACCTGTACAAAGATTAATATTCATGTGAGCCAATTTTTGTGTTGTGTCTACAATAGAATTGCATTAGGGGTGGTTTGAATTTTGTGAGCACAAAAATAATAATAATTAATACACCACAAACATTACCACATATACATTACATGTTTAATGTATAATGTATTAGTGGAATTCTGTACTAGTAATGTTTCTTTTCTATTTGTCTGTGGCTGTAGATTGGTCTCCTTGGTCTACAGATCATTTGGACAATGGACTCAACTAATGGACTGAAGAATGCTCGATCAGACAAGAAGATAATGGCTGCCACTGACCAAGCATTCCTTGACATGCTCAATTCTCTCATTGAAATGACGACACAAGAACTGAACAAGATTGACAGAGTAAAGTATGAGACACTGATCACAATACACCTTCATCAGAGGGACATATTCAATAACCTGGTAAGACATTGTACACTAGCTGTTACTACTTTTTAAAAATGCTCTGAAATCACTCCAAATTTTTATTACATTTTCTGATACATATTGATGTCCTTATGCTGTGTAGAAAGTTTGAGGGGATTCCGACTTCAATTTTTCAAGTTATGTATAGCCATTTTAAGAAAGCGCCAAAAATCTGATAATTACCCAAGGCTATTATAGCCCATGGTTTTCCCAAAAAATGGCTCCAAAATCACTACAAATTTTTATTACATTTTCTGATACATATTGATGTCCTTATGCTGTATAAAAAGTTTGAGGGGATTCTGACTTCAATTTTTTGAGTTACAGCCATTTCAAAAAATTCCAAAAATATCCAAAGCTATGCATGTAGCTTTTGGGTCCATGTAGATCTAGAGGGAGTTTAGGAGACTTTTGGTCTCTCATACATGTACTTAGCTTAGGTGTCCTTAAGTCTCTCATTAGATTGATCTCACAAAATTTATTTCTAGATCTACATGTACACATGTACACGTACCTGTAGCTCTAGAAATAAGTTTCCAAAATACATTTTGAAATATTGCTCCATTATTGAGATACAAATTAATTCACTATGTAAACATGTACATGTAATGAAGTACATGTACTACATTTATAGTATACGTTAAATAGAGATTGTGTATCACTTTAATTTTTTATTGTTTTCACATCATTGATTCTTCATGTTGGCCTTGGGTAGCTGTAGAGCTGTTGCATGGAAGTAATCAACGGGAGGGTGTGGCTAAAATTGAGCTAAATTGTCCGCCATGTTGGGTGGCAAGAAGGCCAAGAGTGAATGGGGGAATGGAGAAAAAAATTTAAATAAATTCTGCAGTTGACATTCCAGGCTAATGCAAGGTAGGAAATGAAGATATTGAGTAAAGAAGTCTCTATAATAATCTGCAGTGAAGTATGATATCTCTTTGATGAAAAATTGCAGTTTGTTTTCATTCCTCCATTCGTTGCGTGTACATTCTTGCCACTCAAGATGGCCAATAGGAAGCTCCGCCTACCCCGTTGATTACATCCGTGCAACAGCTCTATAGCAAGCATAATAATAATGATAACTAATAATGTGAAAATTGATTGCAATAAAAGTTAAAGTTTAATTGTTTAATTTTTCACAGGTTCGTATGAATATTAAATCATCAACTGATTTTGAATGGTTGAAGCAGAGTTGATTCTATTTCAATGATGACATTGACAAGTGTGTCATATCAATAACTGATGTGGACTTCACCTACCAGAATGAGTC